ACTTCGATTTAACAAAAAACGGGATGAACAGCGTCTTTTGCAACGACGTCCCAAAGAAAGCGTGAATAAGTCTGTTCTCCATACCTTTTACTCTCTGGGAACGAAAACAGACGGGGATATAAGTCAATGAGAAAAGGTGGGTATGGTTTGTGAAAAACAGGTGCCTGTTATAGCTTATTTTATTTTCATTAAATTTATACTTAATAATTAATAAGTAAGCTGCTGCAGTTGTCATTGAAAGAAGCGAGCTCTCTGCACCTGATTCCAATGGCGACTCAACGGTCAACGGTGGAGACGTTTCTGCGACGCATTGTTCATAGATCGGTCTGATCTTCGCTGTAAAGGAACTGCCGGATACGGGGAGTTGAACACGCTGAAACCCGAAGCTTCCTTCAGAATCGTATATTTCGATCACGTACCAATTTTCTAGCGCATACGTGCCATTTTCGGTGAAGTACACGTAGTACATCTGAGAAAGAGAAAATTTGAAGCCAATCACGATCAACGGTCGAAACTGTAAAGGTGTTACGCTAGGAAGGGTTCCATCAGAAACGTTCCAAGTCAATTCCATAATGTTTTCGACATTCAAACGATATCGAAAGTTATATGTGGTGGTGGTGGTGTAAAGGGACTCGTTGTTCGCGTTTTCACTCGTACCGCATAACGACGTGAGGTTGGTCTGCTTGTCCAATGGCAGGTGGCCAACGGAAGGACAAAAGCTGCCAGACTTACAGTGAGGTACTTTGAAGAAGCCGTCCTCGGTACAGTTAGGAAACTGCTTGGCGGATACATTTAACGAGCGCAGCTTCTCTACTTTGTATAGGCATCCTAAATTTGCATAAAGTCTAGAAACTCACCTAAAACCCTACCTCATAACTAACCTTTACAAATGGGAATTCCATTGTATATCGACCTTCGTGTATCTCCTTTCTCTGCTCCTGTCTTTGGCTCGACGCACCAACATTCGTTAGACACGTAATCACATTGCAACGCGTCAAAATCGCCAAGCACGTCGCACTGAGGAAGGAAAACTTTAGGCCCGAAACTTTTCTGGTACTCGCGCCTCATCTTATGACACTGACCAAAACTGCAAGTATCCATGCAGTCGATTCGAGTCTCGAATCCGTGGCCGCCGTCGGAACAGTTTTCTCTGACAAACCAGCAAACACCGGCCTCACCGTCAAAATACCATGCTGCTGTGGTCGCCTGGCACTGTTCGTCACGACGAGGTGGCATTTCACAGAGGTTGTTAGCCGTGCGCTCTGAACTGGGTTCGGAGCTACTGTTCAAACTGCAGGTTCTGTTGTCTTCGTTTAAGTAAAAGCCACGATAACAATGACAGACGCCGATTGACCCGTTCTTTTCCAGTACATCATCGGTAACATTGCAGCCTTGCTCACATCCAGTGAAATCGCATATGTCTAAATGTCTTAACATTAAGACAGGTAGCACGAAGTTAGAAATCCGGATTTTGCGACACATTGAACACCTCCCCTGGTCCTAGACGGGTAAGGGCGATTTAAGACGATCGTGACTCACAACGTCACTCAAACATCTATATTACAGTATAAAGTGAAGCCACGTCAAGTGTGACAGTAGAAGTTGAACGTTTTGCAGTTTAGAACGATAAATTAAGGACTCTACAAGGGTCAACCTCTCGTTCACGTCAGAAAGCAGGAGGATTGAATGCAATTTTCTCGATCGTTGCTAATGCCGTCAAAAACGAATCTGACGAGTGTCTCTCATGAAAGATCTGATGAAAAATGTGTAGATGCACCTGACGTAGATAGTTCAATGTCAACTTCAGTTTGATCAGTTGCAGTAGCATCGTGCAAAGATTCCCGTTGGAAATTTCGGGAAATGTTAGGTACTTAGATGTATCACGGTCCATACTTCAGAAAATCGCCTATGTATATATGTACGTATGTATGTATGTATGTATGTATGTATGTATGTATGTATGTATGTATGTATGT